ACAAATGGGAAATGAAGTACGATCCAAAGTTGTTGGAACCGGAACGGTCGAACTCAACTTCACTTCTGGAAAGAAAGTTACTCTTTGTTAATGTGCTTCATGTCCCAGACATGAATAGGAATCTTGTTAGTGGGGATTTATTGGGAAAACCGGGTATTAAATCTGTGTATGAATCGGGCAAACTTATTTTGACCCGTAATGGTGTGTTTGTTGGAAAAGGATATTCCGCTGAAGGAATGATCAAACTATGTATTACTGATAACATGATTAATGAAATTTCTAATTCTGCTTACATGCTTGATTCAGTTACTTTATGGCACAATAGATTAGCACATATTGGTATTAGTTCAATGAAGAGACTAATTAAATTTGGCTTGATATCATGTAATATCAATGATTTCAATAAATGTGAATTATGTGTTAAATCAAAAATGATTAAGAAACCTTTCAAAAGTGTTGAAAGAAATACAAATCTGCTTGATCTTGTACATTCAGATTTGTGCGAATTTAATGGCATCTTGACCCGTGGGAGAAATAGATATTTCATTACATTTATTGATGATTGTTCTAGATACACTTATGTATATCTCTTAAAGCATAAAGATGAGGCTTTTAATGCCTTTAAGATTTATAAAGCAGAAGTGAAAAATCAATTAAGTAGAAGTATAAAAGTCCTTAGGAGTGATAGGGGCGGTGAATACTTTTCTACTGAATTTGATGCATTTTGTGAAGAACACGGTATAATACATGAATGTTCGGCACCTAGAACACCACAACAAAACGGCATAGCCGAAAGAAAGAATCAAACATATCAAGAAATGATGAATGCCATGTTATTGCATTCCGAACTACCTTTCAATTTGTGGGGCGAAGCCTTATTATCCACTTGTCACATAATGAATAGAATTCCCTTAAAGAAAACTGGAATTTCTCCATATGAGGTATGGAAGGGCATGACACCAAATATTGGCTATTTTAAGGTGTGGGGGTGTGTGGCATATTACAAAAACATGGATCCTAAGAGAACCAAGTTGGGTCCTCGAGGGATAAGATGTGCCTTTGTAGGATATGCACAAAATAGCAAAGCATATAGACTTTTAAATTTAGAGTCTAATATTATTGTTGAATCTCGGGATGTAGAATTCTTTGAAAAACTTATCACTAAGGATAAAGAATCAGAGTCATCCATAAATAAAGAATCTTGTGAAAAAGACTCTTCTCGGATTGTAGAAATACAAACTGAAGGCACATCTCGAATCATTGAACCACAACCCGAACCTAGGATAAGCAAAAGAGTCCGGAAAATAAAGAACCTAGGACCAGACGAAATTGATTCTCAATCCATTTCATTTTATCTGGTTGAAGGAAATAGTACAAATTTTATTAAAAGCATTCCGGTAATTCTTCAAGTAGGGGAAGATCCTAAAACTTATAAGGAAGCAATAGCTTCAAGAGACTCCTCCTTTTGGAAAGATGCTATCCGAGATGAAATGGATTCAATTATGTCCAACCACACTTGGGAACTTGTTGATTTACCAAAGGGATCAAGACCCATTGGATGCAAGTGGGTGTTTAAAAAGAAATATCATAGTGATGGTATATTAAACACTTATAAAGCAAGATTAGTGGCAAAAGGATTTAGACAAAAGGAAGGTATAGATTATTTTGACACTTATGCACCTGTAGCAAGAACAACCACTATAAGGTTGTTATTTGCTTTAGCATCTTTGAATGATCTGATTGTTCATCAAATGGATGTTAAAACAGCATTCCTAAACGGAGACCTCGATGAGGAAATCTACATGGAACAACCAGAAGGATACGTCCTTCCTGGAAATGAACAAAGGGTGTGCAAACTTGTCAAATCTCTATATGGCTTAAAACAAGCACCAAAACAATGACATCAAAAGTTTGATTCTACGATAATGTCAAATGAATTTATTCCTAATTCTTGTGACAAGTGTTTATATACAAAAGTGTATAATAACACTGTAATATTTTTGTGTCTTTATGTTGATGACATGCTAATAATTAGCAATAAACTTAATGGAATTTTAGAAACAAAAAGGTTTCTAACTTCCACTTTCAAGATGAAAGATCTTGGACTTGTTGACACAATTTTAGGAATAAAAGTTAAGCAAAATAGTGGGGGTTATGAACTTAATCAAACACATTATATTGAGAAAATGCTTGATAAGTTCAAACACCTAAAATTCAAGGAAGTAACTACTCCATTTGATCATGTAATCAAACTTGAAAAGAATGATGGAAGAGTAGTGGCTCAATTAGAATATGCAAGTGCGATTGGATGTCTTATGTACTTAATGCAATGTACTAGACCCGATATATCGTTTGCAGTTAGTAAAATGAGTAGATTTACTAGTAATCCAAGTAATGAACATTGGAAGGCAATCACGAGGATATTTGGTTATTTGTTGAAAACCAAAGATCTTGGCATTCATTATGGAAGGTTTCCTGCTATATTAGAAGGATATACCGATGCAAGTTGGATCTCTAATGTGGGAGATCATAAATCTACAACTGGGTGGATATTTACACTAGCTGGAGGAGCAATTTCTTGGAAGAGCAAGAAACAAACATGCATTACTCTTTCGACCATGGAATCAGAGTTCGTGGCTCTCGCTTCCGCTAGTCAAGAGGCAGAGTGGTTGAGGGATCTTCTTTTGGAAGTTCCATTGGCTAAAGACAATGTTTCAAAAGTAATGATACATTGCGATAGTCAGGCCACTTTGGCAAGAGCATTTAGCGAAGTGTATAATGGAAAGTCTAGGCATATAGGACTTAGACATTCGTTCGTGAGAAAACTGATTAAGGATGGAATCATTTCACTTACGTATATACGAACAAGCTATAATTTGGCTGATCCGTTTACTAAGCCACTGGCCAGAGACTTAGTAAAAACAACCTCGAGAGGTATGGGGTTGAAACTCCTTGAGTAAGAGTTCCGACAACGGCGGCAACCCAATCTTAAGTTAACAGAACATTAACTTTAAGATTTTCAATGGGTAATAACAAGTCGTTGATTTGGATAATTGTCTAACATTTCGTAATTATGTTGACATTGGAAATGAGGGTTGAGTTTTATTTTAAACTCTTAATGAAGTTCAATACCGAGGGTACGTATCCATTGGAAACAGATACTATATGAACTTCACCTATGTGAATTCTGAGATGGTGTCGTCTCAAAGTGAGAGTTGGAGTTTCTCTCATAAAAAATTCATGAAACAGGATAGCACATGGCCATAAATAAGTGCTAAGCGAGTTATGCAGAGGAAGAATCTTTAAGGAGTGTGTGTAAGGTAACACCGGTCTATTCATATGGATTCATGGTTTAAAAGCATTGCTACCTAATGTTCCGATTAAACCTTGTGTTATCCTTACTAAGGTTAAGTTTAAAATCGAAAGATACTTAACTGTATTAATACTTCTTATGTCTCATTTCTGGAATTATTATTTTGTCATTATTAGAACAAGTGGGGGATTGTTGGAAATAATGAAGATTTATTTCCATTAAAGTTGTTCCAAAATGACAAAGTGGGTGATATAGTTAATTGACAATAAATGCTTAGTCCCACATTGGAAGTGGAGTAAAATTAAATAGCATTTATAAGGCCCTTGGAACAATGTACTTTCCAAAGGAGCCAAAGAGGATAAAGTGTCACATAGTCATATGTGGTGGTCCCAAATCTTATGTCACTTGTCTCATACAAAACACCACCGGCTCTGGCTCCGGAACCAGATCCGAGGGCGTGGGCGTAGAGGCGGCGCCGGTGGCGCTCCGGCCGCCTCCGGCGGGCGGTCCGGCCTTCGGCCGGTATACTGTGAATTTGTTTTAATTGTCGCTCCAGATTTTATTCGTTGCCTAGAGTTTGATTTTTGAATTTGAATTTGAAATATATGACACTTCATGAAGTGGTGCATGACATTTTATTTGAACCATTGCAAATGCTCATTAGAGAGTGTTGTTTATGAAGAGTTGCAAACTTCCGAAACGACACATGCATGGCTATAAATATATGCTTGATACTTCGAAATCATATACTCCAAAATCTGATATCCTCTTCTATACAATTCCAAACGTTTTCCTTGCATTCGAAACTTCACCAGTCTTGTGCAGTTTCGAGAAAAAGGCTGACTTATCCTGAGTATTCAGGTCGTTCCAACTCTAAGACAATTTGAGAGTGTGCTTGAAATACTTTTAAGGAAAGTGATTTCGTTCACGATTCAGTCTGGATCCATTCGACATTGAAGCATTATCTAACAATTCTCCAACATGATGTTCCAATTGGTCTCCAAATACCCTTGTGTATTAATAAAATGTACAATTTGTTTTAAGGGAACTTAAAGAAAAAGGCCGTTTATGTTTATTCGCAAAGTGACAACAATCACATTTAGATTTTGAATAATTCAATACGCAAGGAAGTACATTAAACATATGTTTGAGTGCATCATATGGGTGATCTAACCTATGGTTCCAAAGTCTAAAACTATTAGAAACAACATAATTAAAAGAAATGCCATCAACATCTTTTATTTGAAGGCCACAATTTAAGAGACGTAAAAACTTTGCAAGCATAACTTAAGTTGCAATTAAACTTCGAAATATAAAGTATATTGTTCAAAACAGGATTACTTGTTAAATTAAAATGTTCAAAAAATTGTAAAGAAAATGTGAGTTATTAGGCATATTGACTTTGATAGGCTTAATTTGGTGATAGGAATGAAAAGAAAAGCTCAAATCACTATTGATTGATTTGATCAAAGATAGCCAACTCTAAACAACTAACAGCTATATCATGTAAACAAACTCAAAAAAATGAGTTGTTAATTTACTCAAATATCTTGTTACTTATACAAATTCAAGCTACTATAAATATTTCAAATTGCCTACACACCCAGATGCTTAAAATACCGCATATCACTGCCATATACTTGAAATTCAAAGCAAAACATACAATTAAACGAAGTATAGTATTTGATTACTGACTAATAATCTGAGTAGATTGAGGTGCAACATTCGGTGAAATTTGAGGCTCAACAACTTGCAGTAAACCAATATTCAACCTACTTGTCAAATCTTCCACTTGTATTTTCATAATATCTCTCCTCATTCCGATGTCGGCGGCATACCTACTTGCACAGTAAACTCCGACGGCAGTTGCCGCCATTCCATAAATGTTTGTAGTCACTAGACGAAGAGGCGTAGATAGAACAGCAGCAAGCGGTCCGCCTATGATGGAAACTGCCTGACCGCTCTGCCCGATTGTTCCTTCGTTAACAACCACGAGTCCAGTTTTGCAATAAATGGCGAAGTCTTCACAGTTGCTCTTGAATATGTTATAGCAACGGAATCCGTTTTCGAGTAAATACTTAGCTCGGTGAACTACAGTGTCGTCGTTGTCAGAGACGGCAAGAGTGCATGTTCCACCACGTGCTTTTGCAAGGAAGAGAGCTGGGGAGACGGCGTACTCGAAACGATATAAGACACCGCCGGATAGAAAGCAATTCAGGCATGAGACGACAACACCGTGCTCGTCTTGGGATGTTGTGCAATTTGGGCAAATTTCTCGAGATCTGGCCGGGGCGGAACTGGTGAGGAGAACATCGAGTACGGTGCCAGTTCCTACTTCTTGTCCTCGTCTGGTGAAGTGAATGACTTTGTCATCACCAACATAAATGCCTGTCATTCATTTCGGTTCACAGAAGAGAAAATCCTAGCATTAAAAAAACAGTCTAAAAAATGAAGCATAGTTCAGTTTTGATGCTTATTTGAAGTGCATGAAGTCATTTTTTAAACAAAAAACCGATATTCATTCATTCATTCATTCAAATCGATAACAACATAAATTCAACATTGCTGCTAACGCGAAAAGGATGAATCTCCGAACAAACTCATAACATCCATGTTAATTGCATAAAACTGCAATATCAAAATGCCTACAAATGTGACAATAAAAATAACCAAAATACCCGTGTCTCTGCTGGATCTGTCACGTTGACGACCAAGTCATTGATTGGATATGTAATAGATTGAAGTTTAAGCAGATTAAACGAGGGGAGAGACGATGCAAAACAAGTGAATCTTTCAATAAAATAAATTAAAGGGGCTCTATAGCACAAGGGTAACGAAAAAGATATGACATGGTTCTAAACTGACATGGTGGTTCTAATGTAAAGGAACCCATAGCAATCGCAACCACAATTTAAAACCAGATTACAAAATTGAGAGCAGGAAAGCATGTCAATATGGATTATAAGAGTTGACAAACCATGAAAGATTTCCATCTTAAGTCATAGAAATTTTCAAATAGAGAGAACCTTAGGAAGATCCTCTATAGTATGGAAAGCAAAGTAGTCAATCGCGGCCAATAACAGCGATATCCAGGACCGGCCTTGTGCATGTGCAAGAAGAGCCACAACACACAGACTCAAATAATTAGGGGCCTTAATTTTGTGTTGGACTCTTTAGAAATATAATGAAATAGATAATATATAATTCCGTTTCTGAAATTAAGTAATTTTTAGCACATTGCCTAGCGGTTGTAGTGAGCTTTAGTGTGTAGAAGGTCATTGGTTGGAGTCCATCTGCATGATATTTGTAGTTTTAATTTTTAATTTTACTAAATTTCTACTATTTATTTTTTTTATAAAAAAAAGGCACATTTTATACTTTTCCTTGTCCCTCCGTATGTGTTGAGCCGACCATGGCGCTATCCCGCTATAGCGGAGCAAGGCTGACCGCTATGGAAAGAGTCTTAGCAGTACAGACCACTATAGCGACTGCTATAGGGTAAAGAGCGGATAGTGGGGGTAGAGCGGCTCCCTGCCCGAAGGGGTTTCTATTCTGCTATTCTTTTCCCGTCTGAAAAATCGAAATTGCCCCTTAAATTTAAAACATTTTAGGATAATTTTGAATTTTTCAATCAAATTTGAGTTGAAACTCAACTCTAACCTTCCTCACTGACAGCACGTTAGGTTTCGAAAGAAAAATCAAAAGTTCCTCCCTCACCTCTCTCTCTTTCTCTCTCTGCACCTCATATGTTTATAATTATTATTCAAGTAATCTGTCCAAAAAATGATCAAATAGCAGTCATCCCGCTATCCTAGCGCTGCTATCCAGCATTGACTACTCCGATGGAAAGCACTATATAATAGCTATGTGGCTCAAGTCTTCAACTAAACTACCAAATCTACTCTTTTCCAGATAATTGGTGTATACATATTGAAAAACAGTGGTGTCGCACGTAATTTGAAGTGGTACATGTTGAATATTTACCAGGTCTAAAAAACTACATAAAGTTTCAACAAAATCATGCTGACACACACGATTATTGCAAATTCACCCCCAACACGCACTTAAAATCTAAACAATAACAACAACAACAACACAAAATTCTTCACTTGATAAGATCAAATCAAACAATTGAAAACTAAATAAAATAGAAAAGAGAAGAAAAAAGAGAGAACCGTGATGAGCATATATATAAGCAGTTCTCCATGAATATATATGATCTCCTGCTTTCAGGCTCTCCCTAGTTACCCTGCACACCCATTTTTTCAAACAAAAAAACAAAATCTCACTAAGATTTTTCAAAACAACAATATAGTTGATGTTTTGCAAAACATGGGAAGAATCGAAAATTAAGAATACCTGTTGGAAAGTAGCCCCATTGTTCGTCTCTTCTACGGAGCAACCTTTGATTCCTTTCCTTCGCTAATGTGTATGGGAAAACGCTGTTATAGATTAAATGACAGTTGTGTCCCTTGCTGGATGTAGATTCATTGAAGTAAAGTTACAGATATTGTAACGTAAACTGTTGAAATTTTATGTGAAATGACGCTTGTGTCCTTTGGGGGTGCTTGCTTCGCCGTTAAGGAAAAGAGAAGATGCGTGACGTGGAATTGAATTACGAAAAGTTGAGTAATGAAGGTGGCTTAAATACAAACACGTGGCAATGAAATTTTTGTGTTTACTTTTATTTTCTCATATTGGTCAAAATGTATTTATATGTGCTAGCTTGGAATTTTCACTAGAAAAATAATCTGGATGTTCATCGGAAAAATGTTAAGCGTTAATATTGATCGACATAAGTTGATAATAATGGTACTTTGATTAGAGTGTTCTAACTTGTATCTTGAGACGTGGTTTGGAAGAATTTCAATAGTTTTGAGAAATAATTTAATTGAGTCTTAGGAATGAATATGGATAATCACTCGATATTATATCGAGATCGAGACCTTCGACGAGCTCTAAAGACTTAGAGGATTTAGGAAACCAAAGACTAAAGAAGGGACATAATGTTATCAACAACTTCCTTCGACAAGCAGATAATTATTAGTCGCTAAGAGTAGTTAGAGAATGTGGGATTATAGTTTTCAAGAGTTTTCAAGTGTTGACGACGTGAAAAAGCACTAGAAAAATAAGTTGTATGTCTTTGAAAACATGTCGATTCTTTAGGAGTGAACTGTCGGAAACAGTTATTGTTCTGGACTGGGCCGAGGCTTAGCCCACAATCGAGAAGGCCCAAAATCCCACTGAGGTTAGGCCCAATTGGACCACACTGATGAGCAGGGACTCATGGGCAAAACCTGTGCCCATCCCGTCAGGCAGGTGCCCATCCCGTGGGCAGAACCTGTGCCCATCCTGTCGGGCAGAACCTGTGCCCATCCCGTCAGGGCAGAACCTCCTCCCGTCAGGCAGGTGCCCATACCGTGGGCAGAACCTGTGCCCATCCTGTCGGGCAGAACCTGTGCCCATCCCGTCAGGGCAGAACCTCCTCCCGTCGGGCAGGTGCCCATCCCGTGGGCAGAACCTGTGCCCATCCCACCGGGCAGCACAACGTGCCTTCCACACGTTCTCCGCGTGCTCCCCTCCGCGGGGACACGTCATCAACCAACTGCCCACCTCCGAAAGAGCAGGTCAAACCCACTTTCCGGAGATCTAGGAGCAGTTGGACTAGGGCGAAGACCACGTCCTGGTCTTCACTACGCCACGTAAGCCCTAGCAGTCATTAGGGTTGGGCCTAGTCATCCAGCCCATCTCAAATGACCGTTGGCCCAGCGCTGGGGTCTCTCTATAAATACCCTCTTCCTCAAGAGGGTCAGGTAATTTTGAATTCTCTACCAACTTTTTGTATTTGCTGTCACTCTGCCCATTTTCTCACTTTGGCATCGGAGTGCCTTGCAGGTACACCCCCTCCTCATCCTCCCCACCGGTGAACAGGAAGCAGCCTAACTGAGCGTGGCCATCCAGTGATCCCCTTCTGATCAGGTCAGATCAGTGGCGCCGTCTGTGGGAAACTAAGCTCCCCCGTTCCTCCGAGCAGAGAACCAAAGCTTCATCTCTCAAAACTTCAAGATCACGAGTGCCCTCCGCCATGGCGACGCTGTTCACAATTGTCCTCCCTTCGTCGAGCAGAAGACTCCGATGGGCAGGACCTGGCTGCCCACCATCCAGTCTTTGTCCTTCCTTCGTCGAGCAGAAGACTCTGATGGGCAGGACCCTGACTGCCCACCAGCCAGTCTTTGTCCTCCCTTCGTCGAGCAGAAGACTCCGATGGGCAGGACCCTGGCTGCCCACCAGCCAATCTTTGTCCTCCTTTTGTCGAGCAGAAGACTCCGATGGGCAGGACCTGGCTGCCCACCAGCCAGTCTTTGTCCTCCCTTCGTCGAGCAGAAGACTCCGATGGGCAGGACCTGGCTGCCCACCAGCCAATCTTTGTCCTCCTTTCGTCGAGCAGAAGACTCCGATGGGCAGGACCTGGCTGCCCACCAGCCAGTCTTTGTCCTCCCTTCGTCGAGCAGAAGACTCCGATGGGCAGGACCTGGCTGCCCACCAGCCAGTCTTTGTCCTCTCCTTTGTCGAACAGAAGACTCCGATGGGCAGGACCCTGGCTGCCCACCGGCCAGTCTTTGTCCTCTCTTTCGTCGGGCAGAAGACTCTGTCGGGCAGGACCCTGGCTTCCATCCAGCCTTGTCCTCCCTTCGAAAACCTACTACCTCGAAAACTTACACGGGACCATATAGCTCGACCATGGAACACTGAAAAGCTAAAAAAATACTACAGTTAAACAACACTGCCCGCGAGGGACAACCCGCGCGAACAAGAGGGTGGACTGATACGACCACACCTCACCGATCTTACCTTAGCGGGCACTATACCTCCCCGAACAAAAAGAGAATAGCCCGCTCGAAGGCACCCCCTCGATCGAGAGTCGCCGCCGCAGTATCATAATCGGCCGAACGCCCAGCTCGCGATGGGATGTTCAAGCCTACAGGATAGATCACAACCGTGACCTAACTCTTGTCCGCCCAGGAAACTACCCCAGGCATCCGGATAGTTCCCCACACTACCGGGCAACATGCACCGAGCAAAGGTCCCCCACAAAACAATAAACATTCACATCATAATGGAGCTCGGCAAAACGAGCCAACACTTAGCGAAAAAGAATAACAATCATGCACGCACACAAAACTTAGAAAGGAAAACAAGAATTCCATAAAAGGGGCACAAGCCCAGAAGTCAAAACGTTATAATAAACGGGCACGACCCCGGATGTCGAGCAGAAACGATAGAAGGTGTCGAGCAAAATTTTTTGGATGTCGAGCGACTGCAATTTCGCCCTTCCTAGGTGATCGATACGATCGACGCCATTCTCGCATCCTGCCTGACATATCAGCGCGCGCAACGCTATTCTCTACTTAAGTCATAGCTCTCCTGACAGCGAACTACGACTTGGGGGGCTCCTGTTCTGGACTGGGCCGAGGCTTAGCCCACAATCGAGAAGGCCCAAAATCCCACTGAGGTTAGGCCCAATTGGACCACACTGATGAGCAGGGACCCATGGGCAAAACCTCCTCCCGTAGGGCAGGTGCCCATCCCGTGGGCAGAACCTGTGCCCATCCCGTCAGGCAGGTGCCCATCCCATGGGCAGAACCTGTGCCCATCCTGTCGGGCAGAACCTGTGCCCATCCCGTCAGGGCAGAACCTCCTCCCGTCAGGCAGGTGCCCATCCCGTGGGCAGAACCTGTGCCCATCCTGTCGGGCATAACCTGTGCCCATCCCGTCAGGGCAGAACCTCCTCCCGTCGGGCAGGTGCCCATCCCGTGGGCAGAACCTGTGCCCATCCCGCCGGGCAGCACAACGTGCCTTCCACACGTTCTCCGCGTGCTCCCCTCCGCGGGGACACGTCATCAACCAACTGCCCACCTCCGAAAGAGCAGGTCAAACCCACTTTCCGGAGATCTAGGAGCAGTTGGACTAGGGCGAAGACCACGTCCTGGTCTTCACTACGCCACGTAAGCCCTAGCAGTCATTAGGGTTGGGCCTGGTCATCCAGCCCATCTCAAATGACCGTTGGCCCAGCACTGGGGTCTCTCTATAAATACCCTCTTCCTCAAGAGGGTCAGGTAATTTTGAATTCTCTACCAACGTTCTGTATTTGCTGTCACTCTGCCCATTTTCTCACTTTGGCATCGGAGTGCCTTGCAGGTACACCCCCTCCTCATCCTCCCCACCGGTGAACAGGAAGCAGCCTAACGGAGCGTGGCCATCCAGTGATCCCCTTCTGATCAGGTCAGATCAGTTATTTTTAGTTTAATATATATAGCATACTCATATGTTGTAATCAAGGTCGCAAAATTTATATACTTTCTCTATAGAGTCGGAGTACGCAAACCAATTTGCGAAATAGTTTATGAGTAACACGTGAGTCTACATCCCTTTTATTGTACTACCTTTATGTTTCTTTAATTAAAAGACCTTTTTCTTTTTGTCATTTACTACATTCATTTAATGTTATTTATTAAAAAGTCCATTTACTTCAATTCAAGTTTTATTATCTTTAAAGTTTGTCTTTATCCTGTTTGTACACAGACATTCATAGTCACTTCATATATATATATATATATATATATATATATATATATATATATATATATATATATATATATATATATATATATATATATATATATATATATATATATATATATATATATATATATATATATATATATATATATATATATATATATATATATATATATATATATATATATATATATATATATATATATTCTTGTAAACGTGTTTACACAAAATTGCTCCAAAGATTTTTCGAGTTAATCTCACAAACTTTGAAACTCGTGATTGTTCGCTAAAAACACTTGTGAACAAATTGGAACGTCTAGTGGGACTGTTTTGTGCAAAAATATTTTTCTTTTACAAGAAACTATCGCATGATACACTTTTGTTCTTTATGATATAGTTTAAATGTTTAGAGTCATATGCATCTAAAAAGTGATAGGATCTTAGCAAATATTGTTAATCCAAAAAAATACTTCTCGTGCCCAAAATGATGCTACAGACCTTGAACCAACAACCATCACAACGATTGGTGTAACAAACCATGTCGGAGTCACAGGTCCAGTTCTATCTCTGGCACCGACTTCGACGTCAATACCATGAGTAATAGTTGATTTACTGTTGGTAACAAGTGTACTAACCTCACCTAGGCCTACTTTGATAGTTGGGGGGGGGGGGGGGCTAATCTCCCTTACGTCCTAAGTTTCACTTTACTCTTAGTTACTAAAGATTACCCATATGACATGCCAACTACCATGATTGAGGGGTTATAAAGTCACGCTTCGACGTTTGCGGATAATGCTGC